TGGATACTTTTTATATACACGGTTGACAAGATCCCACCCAGGGTGGGCCAAATGTTTTCTTCTTTGTATATTGCAATAAAAACTTAGAATCATTCAGTTTTTTTCCAAAATTGTTATATGTTACCAAATAATATATTTTATTAATGTTTTGTTGATTTTTTATTTGTTTAAACAATTTATTATTAATAATTTATAACTTTTTCAAATATACATACGACAGTAAAAGAATTTTATAAATTTGTTACATTTTCTTCGTAGTTATTAATTCAAAGGTTATAAATAAAATAAAATATATAATTCAATTTGCAACAACTATTATTATAAATTGTTTAAACAAATAATTGTTGCTATTTATTAACATTCTTCATAATATTCCTAGAAAATTGCAATTTTTTTCTAATTTTGCAACTTAACAAGCACAACATAATAACACAAAGATTTTATATGAATTTACTATTTAACCAATTGTTTAAACAATTGTTGAATTTACAATTTTACATCAAATCTATCTTTTATTATATTCGGCTTGATGAGTTGCAAAATTAGAAAAAAGGCAACTTTCCAGGTGCCGTACAAAAAAAGTTAGTAAATAACAACAATAAATTGTTTAAACAATTGTTGAATTAATAATTTTACATCAAATCTATCTTTTATTATATTCGGCTTGATAAATTGCAAAATTAGAAAAAAAATGCATCTTTCTAGGTGCAGAACAAAAAAAGTTAGTAAATAATAACAATAATTGTTTAAACAATTGTTGAATTAATAATTTTACATCAAATCTATCTTTTATTATATTCCGCTTGATAAATTGCAAAATTAGAAAAAAACTGCATCTTTCTAGGTGCAGAACAAAGAAAGTTAATAAATAATAACAATAAATTGTTTAAACAAATGAAAAATGAAATATAATATTTTTTATATCTACTATTTGACATCATAAAACACTCACAGTGAAAAGTCTGCATGATTTCAAGTCTTTTTGTAAAATAGAATTAAAAAAATATCTGAATTATCCCCGTTATCTCCGTACATACATTGATAAAAGTTATAAATAATCAAGAAGAAATTTTTTTTAAAAATTTGTTTTTACATTTTTTGAAAGTTCTTAAGATTTTGTTCAGTGACTTAAAATCGCGATTCAATTAAGGCAAAACTTTAGAAGATATGGCAATTTCAATTTGTCTGGCCCACCCTGGGTGGGCATCTTGTCAAGCGAAGGTTAAAGTTTTAAAATTATTTAAAAAATTGTTAATAGAATAATTTTTATTTTATTTCTTTTTTAATTATTAGATGAAATATAAACTAAGTACTAAATCCCAATAGAGTAAAAGGAATTTAAAAATATGTAATGTTAATACAATATTTATTTAAAAGTATCTTCAGCAAAAACAGTTAAATATTAATTTTTTTAAAAGAGAATAAAACAGAGATGACCATATTTCATTTTAACTATATTTTACTTACTTCCAATCATCTATCTGTTCTCCTACTTTGAGGTACTTAAGCAATTTCTCCTTTTCACTTCTAATTATCAAATGCACTAACAGAGTCCTTGATTGATCACTGAGGAAGTTTCTGTTATCAATGTAGGCCTTGAGAATTACCTTCCCTTCGCCACTGCTCTCCAAGAAATGTTGTAAAACCTGAAACAAGTAATATTGCTAAATATTTAGGCTAACAAAAACAATAATTTTTCAAATTAATTTTATTGATTTATGTATCTTCTTAATTAAAATCAATGTTTTTATTTAAATTAAATCAGTTCGTAAAAAACAGTAAATTATAATACAATGTAAGTAAGTTATTTTCATCATAAAATAGTATTTTTTCGAAAATAGGTAATTAAATTGTACCAAAAATTGTTATAAATAATACCTTCTCATGTGATGAGAATGTAAAAATATTGAAGTTTATACAATAACAAATTTATATCTATTGAAAAAGTCGCCAAGTTAGAGAGTATTTAATAGTTATTAATAATTATAATATTTCATGGAATTTAATTTTTTATTACTTACCCAATTCGAAGTGTTTTTGACTGAAGATCCTGAAGTACAATCAGTTTGCTCTAAACGGCAATCATTTAGCATTGAACTGCTATCATTTTGCTCTAAAGTGAAATTAAGTACGTCTTTTTCTAAACAGGATCCATTATAATGTACACTTTCTTGTACAATAGAAATCAATTTCTCACTTAAATCGTTATCATTATTTGTAGATACATTTGTGAACAAACAGGGAGCACCGACATCAACAATATTTGACCTCGAAACAGGACTCAAATCTGTAAACTGCTTGTTTACACTGCCTTCAAACTCGTACGATTCTACACGGCAACAGTTCTGGAATTTAATTGAAAACTTAGAACTCGAATATAAGTTTTTAAAATTAAGTAAAATTCCCCTTTCACATTATTCATTATATTTTATATAAATGCTTACATTAGGCTGCAGAGAATCCATTTCGAAACCTAATATAAAAAAATTTTATAAGTAATAAAAATCTACTTTGAAAAATAAAAAATAAAAATTGTGTTTTGTAAATTAAGAAACAAATGAATTTAAAAAATAACAATAATGACACAGAGTAATAAATAATAAATATTATACTCACCATCAATATTTCAATAAAACAAAAAACTCTCACAATAATAAAAATCACCGGAATACACATTAAACACGTGCGAAACTTGAGAAAAAGCGGCACAACTGAATATTTAACAGGCTGATATGCGCAGCAGGCTAGCGCGCAACTGACACATGCGCAATTCTACAAAATCTTTTAAACAGTATAATAATTTTCTTAAGCATGGTTTGGAAATTTGTCTAGAATCATCTTTCTCATAAGTATTAAAAGAGTTTAGGTTCTGTATAATGATAATTTCGTAAAATATAATATTAAATTTACTACATCTGAAAGTATTTCTTTCATTATGTAATAATAATTATTAGCTATAATTTTCTTAATACGTCTCAGACATTTTATTATACACATAATAAAATTGCTTAAAAGTCTTGAAAGAAACTTTAGCAAATCAAATAAATATTAAAATTATCCCATTTCATCCAACTTTTCAATACCAGTATTAAAATATTCTTTACATTTTTTCTTTCCGTGTAGTAAACTCATCATGTTCTGGACAACGACCTTGAGAAAAAGTTACTACTTTCTCGATTTACGCTATATTACTACAGATACATTCTCATATATATATATATATATATATATATATATAATTAAATTTATTCAACATATTTTACATCAAGTTTAGTAATATCCAACTTCAGATGAAAATTTATGTGAGTCATGAATATTCATGAAAAAACGTTTATTTATTCTAAATATATGAAAAAATTTTAAGTGCAACACACTTTTTATGTAATTTTTATACAATTTTTCATTTTTCAATCGAGAGAGAGAGAGAGAAAAAAGTGTTTTTTAAAAATTTTTTACATATAGAATTTAATTATTTTAAAGTATATTTAATTTCTATTAAAAATTGACAAATTTAATTAAAAATGATATTTTTTCATTTAAAATTTAGAAAACATTAAATTTTTTTAAAATTTATTATAATTGCTTCTTGTACAAACTAATTATTTAAATAATAATTGATTGATTTATAATGTTATAAGGTACTGAACTAAATATTTATTAAGTACGTATAAAATTAATAAATTAAAACTTGTTGGTATCACTTTTACTCAAAACTTGTGCTAGAGATTGTTATATTGTTCACCTGATGATAATGTTATTTTGTCCACCTGCTGAAATGAACAATGTTATTTTATTCAACATCATAAATTTTTCTGATAAACGTTATTTTTGTACACCGAAAGGAGATTTTTAAGCCATATCAATAAATGAAGATAAACTAAAAATTTATTTAATTAAACACATAATAATAAATTTTTCAAAAACTAATTATAATAATTGTACAACAAAAAAAAGAATTAGAAAAATTTGTAAAAAAAAGTTTTTTGCAAAAATAAAATCTAAATTGCATTCTTAGCTTTTTCTGCGAAATTTGTATATATATGAGAGAGAAAATTATAGCAATACGAAATTTTATTGCTAAAAAAAAATTAGGTTAATTAACAAGTATTTTCAATTTTTACATACAAAGAAAATGACTTTGAACTTTAAAATCCAATGGAAAAAAAAGTTTCTTTTTTTATACAAGTTTTCCTGTGTGATTAAAAGAGAAGCAGTGCGAGAGCAATATTTTCTGAAAATTATCAACAATTACAGCAATTTCTGAAAAGTCGTTTCGTTAATTGTTATTCTGAATGCCTTATATATAGTTATTTTTATTATTGGTAAAAACAATGAAGCAAAAAAAGTAATAAAAATTTTTGAAAAGATTTTTCACCCGTTAAAAGTAAATAAATTATACTAGTTTCTTTGATAGGTGGGCGTAAAACAATTACCATATCTCAATATTCATTCGAGAATGGTCGTATATGTGTATGTATCTATATTTCTTGGGACAATAAGTCTTAAAATGACTTTATTTAACAAATGACAAGTTTCGAGGTAATAATTTTCGCACGTTAAAATAAAATTGTATACGTATTACAAAATATAGTGTTTTTTGAAAAAAATATTTCTCAAAGTGATATTGGGCAATTTTTTACGATTCAATGGGAAAAGCTTTTGTTTTTTTTTTTCTCTCGAATTGAAAAAACATTTAGCATGAAAGAAAATAAAAACCAATTACCTTCAAAAAATCATAAAGATTAAAAAAAATATATACAGAAAATAGTGAGTATAATTATAAATCATGATAATGCGGTGAGCTGACTTTCGAAACTTATTAACAGTTCTTATATTCATTATTTCAAGTTAAAAATATATTTTTGTTAATTTAAACTATATTTTTTTTTTGAAAAAATTATAATATGTACGTTTATTTACTTAATTTTTTAATTTAATTTATGAAGCTGCATTGAAAAATCAATTAAACAAAAGTTAATTGTATTTTGTTTTTGTTACAGAGAATTCCAAATATTTCAAGTTGCCCTGTCAAGAGTCCACAACCTCTAAAGGAATTTGTTGGCCGCTGTCAAACAATGCCTTCTCGTGTTAAAAAATCTTTTTGTGGATGCTTACAGGTGAGTTTTCAACCTCAACTAAAAAATAATGTTCTTTTCATTTATTTTCTATATAAATTTATATTAAAATTAATTATATTTTATTAAAATTCTATATTAAAATGAATAAAAAAAAAAAAACGTTATTAATTAATTTTTTATCATAATATTTAAAATAATTATTATTTACAGAAACTGGTTTATTCCTCTGTTTTAAAAACATTTATTTTTTTAATTTATGTATTTTAAATTAAAACTTTTTTTCAATTTAACAATTCCAAAATCAGTTTTATCACTCACTATATGAAAAGTGGAAAATATATACCCGTCGGTTTTTAAGAATTTTTTTTTATTATTTATAATATATACTTGTCACTTTATTATTCTAATTCTCAATCAGATTTATTAAAAATTATCTCGAGTCAATAATAATTAATTTAAATCGAAACCATCTACTTTCTTATATAAATCAAAAATAGTCTAAAGCCAGGTGCATTTTTCATATATTCTATATTTAAATCTTTTAATTAATTCTTAATTATCAATCGTACACTTTCATATATTCAATGAATCATAAAATAATCTCGTTTGTTTATCTATTCAAATATATGTTATATATTTAAATAACCACAATCAATCAAAATAATATAAATTAAAAGAAAATAAATGTCAATTTTACATTTTTTTTTCTCAAGGTGCAAAAGGTGGAAGAACATAAATATTTTAGTTAATGTGAAAGAAAATGAATATTATTACATATATATATATATCGTAAATTCGATTGAACTTTTCAATGACTAATATTAATATAAATTTAATATAATATTCTCACGAAACATCTCGAAGATGCTTATTATACAAATATGAAAAAAGAGACCCCTTGGTGGAAAAATTGTATACGAGTAAATTACACAGTTATTACACTTATTTTCAGTGATGTCACGGATCTCTGAACGGATGGTAATTGACTCGTTGCTCGTGATCCATTTTTTCACGTATTCTATCTCATCAGACGTGTAATCTTTCTCTTTTTTTTCATTCTCGCGAAAGTTTGAAAATTCCACGAACGAATAGTATATCACTATATGCTCGAATTAAATGCCAGAAACGAAATCAAATAGTCGATACGCGACCCGCATCGACGAGAAAATCACACGATAATCTCACGTTTCGAAAGAGATTTTTGTTTTGTTTTTTTTTTTTTTTTTTTTTTTTTTTTAAATAAAGGTCTTTGAACTTAAAAAACTTCACGTCATATGTTTAAAATATCAATATTCGCAAAGCAAGTATAAATTTATAGAAATTTTTAATTTTTTTTATCAAAAATTATATTTCAATATTCGAACAATAAAAAAAATATATATAGTATATTTCTTAAAACTTTTTCAACATAATAATTACGTTTTGTATAAGAGAATATAATAAATTTTTAATGATAATAGCCATTTGAAATTGTTTAGTTTTAAAATAAAAAGATCAATGTTATATAGAGAATTAGTTTACTTTTTTTTGCATTGATTTTTTTTTTTTATTAGTATAATTCTTTAGAGGGTTTTATCTTTTTCATCCGGTCTTAAAATTATTGCAAATAATGAGCATAATTTAATACTGGTTATAGAAACAAGCACTTCCCGATTTGCAGATGGAATTTCATGACAGAATATTGCATGTTGAAGATCATGTTTTTCTGCGCGACACGCAGAGAGAATCTATGTGTTACGTTTTGCCGCGTAATCGTTTCCCTTTTATTACTGTAATTTTGTGCGGGCTGATGAGATAATTCGCGAAACAAAACGCAAATGATAAATCGACCCGTAAAATAAACTCAGGTATTAAACAAACAACACACACGGAAAGAAAGTTTGTAGCAATATTTGATATTATGGTGTTACTTTTTAGTATATTTGGTTACAATTGCGGAACATTTTGGCATGATAACGATTTTCGATACTATTTTTAAGAATGATTGAGATTAAAATAAGAATATTTAATATAGTTGGAAAGAAAATTTGATATAATATTTACGAAATCTGAAATCTTTTTATTGAAACACAAAAATGTCAAATTTTAATAAGCTCTTTATCAATTTTTCTAACCAAATATTTCAAATTTCGTAATTAGAATTGTATAAAATGATATAATTATTTCAGATTTTGATATATTTGATATGAAAATTGAAAAAGACATATCAAAGTTAACGAGATTCGACGAAATTTGCCGAAGTTGAACGTTCGGCATTGCCCGATCCTCACCGAGTGGTAACGAAGACTGACGAAGCTCTTTAGACAAGCCCCTTTTTACCATTATCTTGATACAGACCTGAATTTCTTTTATATAATTAATTTTGAATATTTTACAATAAATCAGTAAAAAAAATTGTTCTTCAAAAAATAATAAAATATTTAATTATTTCCCAATAAATAATGATTTTTATTTATATTTTTAAACATGTTTTGATATAATTTCACCTTTCTCATAAGCGGTGAAAAATATGTCTGGTTAGTATATAAGAATGGTCACATCAGTTTTTTACATGAGCGTAAATTTGCATATGAAGCGTTATTTTGCGAATGTTGTACGTATTCGTTAGTATAGGTTAGGAATAAAAATAAGCCAATCGATGTAAAACAATGCGGTGTATGTGTGTGTGTGTGCATTTAAAAGTTCATATCCTCGTCTATCCTCGAGATGAAAAAGAGATAAAACTTTGGCGTAGAATCTGTTGGTGTTTCTGTCGTCATCTGTCACGACTGAACCACTTCGAATTTTTAGTATAGTTTTAACAAATTTCGAAATAATCTTTCCAAATTTTCATATAAATTTAGTAAATAACGAAGTGCGCGTCGGTTTAACTTATTTCTGGTTTTTCGTATAAATTTATCAATTTACGAAATAATAATTTCAATTTCTGGAATATATTTACTAAAAAGACTATTGTTAAAAATATACCGATTTTCGTTATCAAACCCAAATGTTCCGCGTTTGAAAAAGAGAATACTAAAATTTCCTATCAGATTTATCAAATATTGCTACTAAATTTCTTTCCGTGCAGTCTCTCATTCTCTATCTCTTTCACTCTCACTGTCTCTTTTTCTTGTCTATATAAATATTCTATAAGTTTTAACATATTGAATAATAATGAATAAGTTCTAAAAATCAATTGTTAGAATTTTTATTTAATCGAAATTTATTAGATTTAATTTTCATTAAGCCGAATTTTATTTGTTCGAATTATTATTTAATAGAATTTCCATATAACTGATTTTTCATATACTATACAGAATTTATATTTTAAACGAAAAATCATTCAAAACAAAATTTCTAATTGATAGAATTTTCATTTGTCCGGAATTGAAAATGGCCGAATAAACAATATGGACAGAAAGATTTCGGTGCGATTTTTAAAATCAACCAATCATAATTTTATGGATATAATTTTTGATTGATTGATTTTAAAAATCGTGCCGAAATCTTTCCGTCGATTGTTTTTTCGGCCATTCACAATTTCGGACAATTGAAAATTCTATTAAATGATTTTTCGATTAATTATAAATTCTGTAGTATATAAAAAATCGGTTATATGGAAATTCTATCAAATATTAATTCGAACAAATGAAAATTCTATGCAAATTCTGTTTCCAAAGAAAATTTTTTAAAATAGTTTTTCTTCCAAAAATTTATTTTCCAATAAAAAATATTCCAAAAATAAAGTGTGAAATTTAAAATCTAACGTTATAATTGATACTTCTTAAGTACGTTAAATGGCATGTTTAAAAATTTCTATATGGAGTTGCCAATTCGTTTTGAAGGTATAATTTGAAATTATATGAAAACAATAATAATGACACTTGATGTTAAATTAAAGTTCAAAACTTTCTCTGAATTTCATATATGATACTTTCGTGTATATATATATATATATATATATATAGGTATATATACTGGATTTTGTGCTATTAATTTTATAAAATTAATTTTAAAATAAGATTTTCTTTTTACTGTGTGCTATTTTGTGTCGGGGAAAATCGTACAGAAATAAATATATTAAATAGAACACGTAAAATGTTTCTTGTGTGTGTGTTTATCATGCAATATATAACGTCTCTTATCTGTTTTCTAAAGTTTAAATGAACATTTCTCAATATTCTAATTTGAAAATAGAGAGAAACTTGATAAACGACAGCAGCCTTTTTCAAAAGCACACACATATATATATATATATATAGGTATATAAATTATAATTTCACATCTATATAGGAAAGTGTAAAAGACAGAGCAGGGCGTTGGTCCGTCTAAAACGTCTTGACGCGAGCGGGTACATTTGTATAAATGATAGGAGAAATCTTTTCAATACATATTTCTGGACTTTCTCGCCATGAAGTATTAATTCACATTATAGTGAGCACCGCGCACATTAACGCGTTTTAAGCGATAAAATCATGTCATCTCTTATATATGGGTGATTCTACGATAAAAAGTATCTTTATAGTGTATCTGTAAATTGTTTCTTTTTTTTTTACAAATTACTTTATAATAGTAAACAACAAATATCTACATTGAAAAAAAGTATCATTTTTTCAAGAAAATTATGTACTTGACCGTATTTGCGCCACTAATTTTCTTAATTCAAACTACACCCAGAGAAAAGATATATTTGTCTCAGAGCCAAATAAATATTTATTTCTTGTAAATAAATTTTTATTTGATTTAAATAAAAATAGGATAGTATAGGCTCTGAGACAAATATACGTTTATTTAACTCAAATATATTATGTTTGAGTTCAAATAAAACATTTCTCTGAGTGTAGTAAAATTTTCTTGAATCGAGAAAATTTTAAATAAAATGCTCACAAGTAAATGGGTTTTCTTATGATTCTATACTATATTTTTTTCAATTTAGTATACAAGGCAGTATGATACAGTAGTTAAATTTCTTTTTATATAGTGGTAATTTTTTTTTGCTTTGTCAAAAATCTGAAAATTTGTTTCGTAGAATCAAACATAATATACTAAGCGTTAAA